AGATGGAGAGCTCCAGGAAAGCCAAGAGCGAGATCGAGGTGTTGGACGCGGCGCTCAAGGACTACGAGTATAAGTTCAAACTGCGCAACAATTTACGTCTCGCCAGCGATGCCATCGACAAAGACGTGGACCAATTGAACAAACGAAGGACCGCATTGACCGCACAGATGAAGGTCTACAACGAGTCGCACAGATCCGCGTCGTCCGCCACTTCATTGCCGACGCCGACTGTCGCGCCGATCGCCAGACCACCAGTTGATCACTCGGCGTCATCGTTGTTGTCCACCACTTCAACCGCTGATGAAAGACAGGGCCAGTCATCGCAGCGCAGACCTCAGCAAAAGGAAAGGCCTCAACACTTAAGACCCGCTCTGACCACTCACTCGTCCCCAACGGCCGCCAAACGGCCCAACACTTTACACACTAAACCCGCGGCTAACCCGAAAAGGGTGCGAATCAATGACGTCGTGTCCAATACTACGCCCACAGCGCCCGTCAGGACAACGCCTTCGCTTCATACGGGTCTCAAACCGGCCATAAAACGCACTCCGCATCCATTTAGACCGAAACCAGCGTTAGGCACACCGACCACCCCATTGGCCACCGCTAGTCCGTCGACAGACTCGCCTAAAGTTAGCCGTTTGTGTCGTCAACAAACTCCAGGTCCCGGCGGCCCACGAAGTACTGGTTTAGCGCCCGCTCCGAGCGGTGTGCGTACGTCGAGACCCGTACGGCCCGGTTGTTCGCGCGCCAACCGAACCGACAACGAGTCCACAGAAGCGCCCGAACCCTCGGAACCGACTCACACTTCAGACCAACCCATGGATAATACAGAGGCAGCCGACACTGCCGTTGATTCGGCCGACGAAGCCGTTTCTGACAATGAAATCTTCAACGAATTGGTCAATACAAATATCATGAACGAGAAGGCGGCCGAAGAGGACGCACCCGTTGTCACAAACCGTACACCCAATACGGCTACGACCGCCGCCACTGCCACTCAATCCACTGTAAACTCAGACGAAATACTCGATAATAGTGTAGCGACTGGTGACCAACGGGACGGACCGGATCCACAACCGGCTCCGCAGGACAATGCTGTTAACACTGGAGGCGATGAAATTGATGGCAATGATGGCCCGAACGCTGAGCCCGATGTGGTGACCATTGATAGCGATGACGAAGACGAAGTATTTACGGCCGAAACTCAGCCAACAATTAACGTTAAAACAGAAAAACCGGATGCCATGAACGGCGGCAACCATTCGCTAAACGCGGCCGCGACCAGAGTCTTGTCGGACAGTGCGGCCGATCTGAACGCGTCGAGCGCTGCCAGCGATGACAGTATGGCCAGCACTTCCACGTCTTCCACGTTGTCGTCGACTTTTAATAAGAAATCACTGCGTTATACAGGTTTTCCGGCCGTTGAATACGAGCGCACCGACGGTCAAGAGTATAGTCTCGGGCCGTTTAAACCCATTTTCGGCCCGAAGTCCAAGACTGCGGGCGTCGGCGTCATTACGATGAAGGCGTTTAAAGACTATTTGATCGCCTCATTAGCCGATAACACTGTCCGCCGATTCCACATACAGAACAAGTCAGACGTCGGGATGTATGGCCCGCACGGCAATCATGTAATGGCGCTGATGATCGTCGAGAGCGCCAAATGTGCCGACGATTACTACTTATACACCGCATGTAAAGACAAAGCACTGCGTGTGTTCAACGCTCGCACCACTCAACTAATGGGTGGTATATCGCTCGGACACACCATCTATTGTTTGGACTATCGCTGGTCACACGTGTTCTGTGGCCTCGAGAACGGGACCGTTTGCAAAGTGGCCGCCATTCACGAGTTGGAGAGTCCGCCACAGGTTTCGGCCGATGGCGCGGCCAACACCGGTGGTGACACTTATGAACATCTAGTTAAGCGATACGCCGTTGACGCCAAGAAGCGTATATTAGCTCTCGTAGCGGTTAAAGCGACCGCAACCGTGGCCTTACCCGTCGACATTGAGCCCGTAATGGCCATCAGTCACACTAAGCTGCGTATTGTAAACACCAGCGACAGTGTGGTTAACGACAAGGACCGAGTGCTTCACTCGATGCCACTGAACGCGTCTAATGCAAGCCCTATATTTGCCAAAGTGTTTGGCGACCACTTATTCCTGGCGTTCAAAGTGGTCGGCTTTAAACCCGAGGGCCAGACGAAGCCCAACAAAGACGACGACAAATCACTGCTATTGATGTATGACTTGCAAAAGGTTTGTCTCGTTTTACATATCGTCTCAATTATTGTCTCATAAATTAGTAGTAAAACACTAATGGATGTGATTATTGTTTAGGACTGGAATTACGTGAACAAACTGGAGATACCGGGCGCTATAATGGCGGTGGAGATGAGCGGCTCGGATCTGATAGTCTGTGAGTACTCGGGTAGCGTCCAGTGCTTTGCCTGCGACCACCAATTTGACTTCAAGTGGAAGGCGCACCCATCGGTCACTATCAGCGCGTGCGTCCAATTGGGCTCACGGCTGGTGTTGGGCACCGGGAGCGGCCAATTCGAGGTGATCTTCTTGGACCAGAATCCCGTCGACTGTGACCTCTGCGGCATCACATTTGTCCGCGATATGGACCTCAAACATCACATTAAGAATGAGCATAACCTGTCGGAGCCACCGGCCATTGGCCAGTAGTACCTGACCCGACAGTCACTCACCAATAGGCAAATTACTTCATATATTCGTTTTGCAAATTATTAAATCCATATTTTTGTTATAAATTTGTAAATTTATTTTAAATAGAAATCTATTTGTATTGAAATTTACATTTATTTTTATTAAAGCTTATCATTAAATTGGATCAATTTTTATCATTTTAATTAATTAATAATTTAATTATTGTTTAAAGACATAATATTATAGTTAAAGCATATTTGCGATGAATATGCGGTCCGATGGCCACCAATGGCGAGGTGTGTCAGGCAAACATGTCATTTTCTTCGTCGCGGTCGTGGGGTTCAGACCAGCCATCGCAGGCGCTCGGGTCGGCCTCCCGTTTGGCGATAAGATGTCGGTCACCGGCGGCCAAGAGCTGCGACGAGGCCGGCATCGAGTGCGCCAACTGTGCGCTCAATACCAACGCCACCACTAATACACAAATCAATTGGTACTTCATTAGTCGATTCCGGGTCTCCGCGAATGTGTTGTCAATTAATTGGATGTAGTCTTAGGGCCACAATATATTCTATGCCTTAATTTTAATGATTGCTTATAATAATTAACAACCAATATGGTTTATTTATTACTCATTAAATCAAACATACAGATGGTATGCATAGCTGTATTGCCGTTATAATGTATTACGTGATCATATTTTAATTAGTTAACCAATTTAATTAATTTTTGTGCATTTACTCAACAAATAGACAACAAATAACAATCCAATACTTTTAATCAATATTCACATTACATTTCAAAATTAAAGTTAAAATGTTCCATTCTTAAAATTTGTTATTTTACTCATACATGTGAGTGTAGTTTAGTTTAGTAAGTTATATTTTCACACAATTGAACGCATTATTTACTTGTTAGATTATTTTGAATTTTACATAAAATTTCATTAGTCAAATATTAAGCATTTTTCTGATTATTAATTAATTCTATTAACAATAATTGTTACAAGAAATTAATTGAAAAATTCTCTCTCTCTCTCTCTCTCTCTCTCTCTCTCTCTCTATTATATTAATTATATTAATACCTAATAAATACATATTACTTTTTATTATTTAAAATTTAACAATAACGTAGAAAGCAACATAGATGTAATATTAATTTGTAATATTAATTAAGCATTAATTATAACATTTATTGTATAGAAATGTAAGAATAAATCTGAAATATTTAACCAAAATGAAATTCGATATTAATATTGTTTTCTTATAAATGACACAATAAAATGTACTTTCATTTCAAATAAATCTTTTAAGTTAAAATGGTTTTTTGCAATTTTATAAACTATTTATTTGAGTTTAGAGAACTTCACTAACTTAGTTATACTATTTACGCTTAAAATATAAATTCATTACTTAATTAATTTATATATTACTAAGTTTTTATGCATTGTTTGTAAATTTTTCAAACAAAATGTTTTTAAATTTAAAATTATTGTTGTT